TAGGTTGGAATATCTACATGAGTATGTTCCGCTTCAAAGGCTGTTCGGATGGCGTCTGTTAATTTTTGCAACATTAAATTGAAAAGTAAGAAATCCCAATTGTCAACGGGGAATTCCAAGGTACGAAAACCTTCAACGTTTTCATGAAAGGTATCAATTAGTGATCGAAAACCTTTTGCAGACTCGTCCTTCAATGGTTTCACATGAAGGATTTCAAGAAAATACAAAGTGGCTAAATGCCGTTTATTATGATATCTTCCTTTTAAGGTTTTATAGGCCGTTTCATAGTTAGCCTCTGTAACAGGCAATCCTTTTAAAAGATTAAAGGCTTCTCCTTTTAAGGATGTAAGCAGATACTGGTATTTAACGATAGACGACAGAGAATTGTTTTCATGGACCAGAGAACGAAATAAATCATAAAATGTATGCCACTCCTTATAATTACCATCAAAAGTAGGTAACGAAATTTTATTCAATTTTGGTGACGATGGTGCAGAAACGTTACTAGTTGTGGCTGGTGGTGGTGAACGTTGATGAAAGAGAGCTTTGATTGTATAGTATGCAGTAGCTGCTGTTTTTCTAACTTTATCATGCTCGTCAAAGTCAGCTTCTTCAATCAGTCCAATAATTGTATTATGAGCCGTTTGGAAATCTTTATAAATGCCATCAATGTCTTGTGCTCGTTCAAGAAAAATGCTATTTTTTATAGGATCGGAAGAGGTATCTTGACCCAGGGCTAGGCATTCAAGTAGGTGGTTATAGAAACCAGTACGGCGTAAAGTGAGTTTTGTAAGTTTTTCGCTCATAATGAGATAATAAAGTAATTTTGTTTAAAAATAGAATAGAAACAAAATTTATTTAATGATTAGCAACTCGATTGATGAGAGCGAGAGAGTGAAAGAAAGCCTAGAGAGAGAGAGACTTGTGGAAGGAACGAGGCATACGTATATAAAATACTTAGGATGATTTTCGTAAGGACGATTTAAAACGAAACGATTGCGACCAATGAGGTAAGGGACCAAATTGTTTACCATAAAAGGTAATGCTAAAAATAGCTGTATCCAAGTTTTTAGTTGCCAGATGTTCGAAACGTCGAACGTGGAGGATCAAAAGAAAACGCTTGGATGAAAGAAGGAAACGTGAAATGAACAGCGTAATGACGAAAAATAATGAAAATAATAAGAAAAATAAATGAAAATGATAACGAAAATAAATCCGGAATGCGATCCGGCTCGAAGGACCAATGTTCGCGCAGCAATAAATGCCGGGACAAAATTAAAAAAAAGAGGGGTGCTGATTCAAAGCAAAATTAATAGAAATAATAAAAAATAAACTGAATTAAAGAAATTCTTGCTATATTTACCCAATTCTCTTTCCCTTCCCCAAATCACACAAAGGTTTTACTTTCACAAATTACAAAATCTAACAACTCGCGTGTTATCGCATTGAGGGTGGCGACGATAAGAGATCGATCCAAAAGATCGATCCAATTTTATCATTTTAACGTTCTTCGGTTCAATTTCTACCGGCGCCCAAAAGGTGGCGCTCACACAAAGTGAAATGCTTAAAGTGCGGCCAACAGATGTCGGTGAAAAATAAATCAACATGTTCGTTAATTCGACACGTCAAAAAAACATCCATTGGTGCAAATCACTCGACAGGACTCACCAATACGACTGCAGGAAGATCTCATAGCATCAACCGAAGATCAACCAAGATTGACATCAATTGCACAAAAAGAACTTACAAATGTACAGCCAGGATCATCAGGTACATCAGGACAAATTACCAACTATTTATTCAGACCCCTGACAATGAAAAAACAAAAGGAAATTGATCGTCAGCTTATAGCGATGATTAGAAAGGAGTACCATCCGTTTTCGATTGTAGAGGACGATGAATTTAAAAAATTAATTTATATGTTAAATTCAAATTATAAATTACCAACTAGAAAAACGGTTTCGCAGTCGCTAATTCCCAACTTGTATCAAGGAACAGTTGATATAGTGCAAGGAACCGCGCGTATTGCCGCGTGTTACCGCGCATTACGTCGTTGAAGAGGAGAAACGCGCATATTTACCATCAGATTTGTTGGGATGAGTGTCATACCGGAGAGAATAGCGCTAATAAATTAAAAATTATATTGAATGAATGGGAGATTAGTGAGAAGATTACTGCAATCATTTCAGATAATGCATCAAATATGAAATTGGCAATACGAATTGGAGGTTGGAAGCATTGGGGTTGTTTCGCGCATTCTTTAAATCTTGTCGTGCAATCTGACTTAAAAGAAGTACGCGTAATAGTGGATAAATTAAAAAAAAATGTAAGATATTTCAAGAAAAGCACTCATGCGTATAGCCAACTAAGGGAAACGCAAGAAAGAATGGAGCTTCCAGCTTTAAAATTAAAGAATGATGTACCGACTCGTTGGAATTTAACATATGAAACGTATAATTACTGTGAAAACTGCACTAGTATCACCTTTAGCTGTCATAAAATCTGGACGAGATGTTGATATTAATAATATAGACTTATTAAGTAATGAAGAATGGCTTATTGCTGAACAGACGGTAAACATTTTAGAAATGTTTAATGTTGTGACTACCGCTGTTAGTTCAGAAAAAGAGGTTAGTTCTTCATGCATAATATTATATTATAAACAGATAATGAAACATATGAATTCCTTTAATACGGCAGATTTAATGCCTGAAGTAAACCAAATGGCAGAAAAATTAAAATTAGAATTACATAACAGGTTCAGTGATATGGAAGATAATGAGCTTATTTATTTATTTATTTATTTATTCTGTTTATGGGATACAAACAGGAAAAATCCCAGTGAAGTATCCACTACAAAAACAATTGTACAACAATATTTCTTCAAAGTGACAATCAGTACAAAAAGATAAACAAAGAAACAAACATAATACAAATCAAATCAAATTAATTGTATAAAATTAACTAAATGGTAAAAAAGAAAATTAACAAATTATAATTACTACCGTACTACG